GGGCATACAACCCTGGATTTCTGTGTCAAAATGTATTTGTTAAACAACTTTGCTCTAACAAGCTCAGAACTTGCACAGAATAACTCTTTGTGTACTTGCCCCCAATTAGGTGCGTCTGTGCACTTTCTACTCTCTCCTCTCTGCAGGGACGTGGCAGGTTTTTTTGGAACCATCTCCAGTGTCTAGGAAGAGTGGGATTTTAAGCATACAGTCAGAAAGATGCCCCCTGAAGCCTTCAATGTTTCTATAGAAAGTTCTTAGTCATGTCTGAGTAACATAATCCCCCAGAGGTTTTCCCTATTGTCAAGCCCAAATCCCCGCGGTGACCATTTCAGTCCCTGTCTAGTGTGGTCCTCACTGAACACGGGTTCCTTATCAATGTTTATAAAGCCTTAGTTTGCCTTCTTTGACAAGAGGCAGAATCCACAGTGAAGGAAAATGGTGGAAGTCACATCTGCTTTTCTCTAGAGAATTAGGAAGCTGTGAATAATAATTTTGGTGGTGGTTGAGAATTCCAGAATTCAGCCAATTCTATATAAATGGAAGGGACTCCCTAGATATCCAATTAAATAATTACATGCAATTAGTCTGTTCAGGAGTATCATCTTGTTGGGATTTATACCAACATAAAATGGTTTTATTTTCCCACTCATAGCTTTCAACTGTATTGTGTTGAATACCACTTTCCTGCTGGGATGCAAGTTCCTTAGCAACATCTAATTTCCTGTCGTTTTCAATTATTAGTATAGTCTCATTTGGGTATTTAAGACCTGGTTCTGTTCATTTAAAAAAGATTAATCTCAAATTTGGAGTGAATATGTGTGTGTGTGTGTGTGTGTATGTGGGGTTTTTACTTTGGGAGGGTGGGTGTGCTCTGGTTCTTCTACCTCCTTTCCTTCCCTCTTTGAGGACCCAGTTCCTCTGGTGTTGCGGGGGCTGGCAGGAGGGTGCAGGCCAAGGTCTCTTTATATGATTGCTGGAATGTCAGAAGTGGGCAGGTCTCAGGTCACACTCACCCTGGTTCAGATTCTTTCTGGGATGTTCTTTGGCCTCCTGGGAACTGAGAGGAACTGAATGGGGTGGGACGTCCTTCCAGGCACAATACATTGGGTCTCCCAGAAATCTCTAGATTTTGCTGGGCATTAGGTTGCACATTCATGGGAACCTCAGATTTCAGAGGACACGTGTCATGGGGTCCTCTTTAATCCCCCATTAGTTGTCTGTACTCCTAGTCTTCTAAACACTCTTCCAGGGTCTGTCTGTCCCTCTTCTTTCCTGGATGCAACCTGAGGGTGGGCCTGTGGTCCTGCTGCTCAGCAAGGGTCCAGCTGAGAAAGTTGGAAAAACTTCTAGCAGGGATCTACACTCCCTAGAAATGATGTCATGGAGCAGCCTGCCTTCTTGGCTTAGAGAACATGCCCTTCCCATAAAACACTGCCCTCCTCACAATCCTCACCGTCTCTTATTCCCTGTTAGACTGGTGTGCCAAGTCTGGGGATGGGATGGGAACGGTGGTATGGGAGGAGTTTGTTGGTGGCAGGGACATTTCTGGTGTCCCCTAGTGGGCCTTGTAAGGAGTTGGCTTCAGTTGCTGTGGGCTTTTTCAGGAATGTGGAGTACGTAAGTGACTTCAGTTTTGGATAGAAGCAAGATTTTAGGATGCTGAGATATGTCTGTTATACATTCATTATAACATGTACACACAGAAATGCCAAAGGATGTTCAGGTATATATCCAAGGCCTGAAAAAGTTTGGGACACCCCTCTGGCACCCTGATCAGATGAAATTCATTTTTTAAAAAGTCACATTTACCCATAATGAGTACAAAGAAATACAACACATCTGATTTCCCATGACTATAATCTTTTTTTTTCCCAAATATTAAATTTCAAAGGATTAAAAAGTATATAGGTGACCCTACATTCCTGTTGTCCCAAATACATGTTTATTCTTTTGGGGAACCCAGCGCTACCTCACAGTCTCACTGAGAAGGTTAAAGGAATGAGTTCATATGAAGGTGCTTTTTGTGACTCACGAATACATGCTAGTGTCATGATGTCATGTGACGGTAGATAAGATGTTCTATATACAAATAAACATTCCTTCAAGCCTCATTTTAGTTTAATGTGAAAATGAGTGAGGTATGAAGTAAAATTGTCATTTTATTGGCATCTTGAGCCAGATTGACTAGATTTTCATCCTGATTCCATGATTTCAGACAAGTTGTTTAATTTCTCTGAGCCTCAGACTTCTCATCTGGGCAATGGGGATAATGATGGTATCTACCTCATGCGTTGTGGGACTAAAACAGGTCATTTAACATAAAAACATTTCACCTTAAAAAACTGCCAGGTACATAGTAAGCTCTGGAATATTACTTCTTATTATATACATGTATGAACTACATAGAAAAATGGAATTTTCTTATTTTTTCTATATTTTAGATATTTTCAATAGAAATGAAAGGATGAAAGTAGCCCTTATTTTATGATGAAGTTGATTTTTAAAATATTTGTCTTAAAGAGTTGCCTATGGTAGAGGGATATGAGAAATTTCCCCATGTGACCAGAGGTGACTTAACCTGGGACAGGTAGCCCTACCCAGTATTGGTTAGAGGGCCCTGTAATCAGTGGGCAGGTCAGCTACCCAAGAAGGCAGATGAGTAGAAACAGATGAGAATATGTATACAACTATTTGTATTTCCAAGACTGCCTTGCTGAACATTCATTATTAAGTAACAGAGCGTTATGTTCTCTCTTCCTAACCTAATTCCTATGTACTCTTTCTGCACTTTGTTGGTGATGTTCAGCTCCCCACCCTTTGGAATGCTGCGAGTTTGCAGATGGATACTGAAGGGAAAGTTTGACCTAACGATTCTTTTCAAATGGCTTCTCGATATTTCATTTACTGTTTCAGCCTCATTGCTTTCCTACCTTCTGAGTGGCATTCCCCTGATTAGCTTTATTGGCCTACCTGACTCAAATTGATTTAGCTCAATTTTCTGGATGCACAGGCAGATGATTTATATATTTATTTCCTTGCATCTTTTCTATTTTTATATTTCCAATTTTTATCTTTCCATATCAAACTTTCACTCTGAATTCATCACAGATGCTGTTAGTTGGCAATTTTGATCTTCCCAACAAATATTTGCCAGGTTGTAATTTTTTATTTGTTATCAACAGCCAAGTTTAAATAAGGCTAATCTTGTTCTAAAATGGTTTATATAAATGTTAGTGTTGGTATGGAGAGAAAGTAAATGTTAATTTTGAGTTTTTTATTCAGTATATATTTTTCCCTCATTGCTCCCATGTAATGCCATTATTATCGTTGTTGTTGTTATTTTTTTAAATAAAAACAACTGGGGGACAGTAGGAACCACATTTTGACCTAAACTTTAAACAGAAAGTATTCTGACAAGAACACTAAAATAGGTAGAGGTTTGGGGTTGGGAGGACAAGGAGGGATCTCTTTGATAGCTGCTCTTGTTATTGTCTTCTTTCTTATTTACTACCACAGAAGATTATCTGGAATGAGCCCAGCTCCTTGAAGATGTCCTGTAGTGACCCTGGGGAGCAGTTTCCTTCTTGCCTGTGCATGGTTCTGTGGTGACCTCCTATTCTAGGCTGGATTAGTAGATTCTGGGGGTAGAAATTCTGGTTGTATATATGGTGATTTAAAAAGAGGACCACTGAACCAACAATTACCTGTGGGCCACTTGTGGGAAGCAGAGCAGGGGACCTGGGTGGGAAGGTGGAAGTATATATATTTCCATGTGTTGTGCATATGTATTTGCTGACTGCAGGGATGGTTTTTGATGAGTGGCCAGGGTGGGCAGTGGGGGCTGTGTAACATGTTATGAGAGGTTTTCCCAAACCCTAATTCATTTTCAGAAGAGGTATCTTAATTAGAGGTTAAATTCAGGTTCTAATCCCTCAATCAATAGTCTGTAAAAGTACATGTCTATATTCCCCTCTTCCTGCTGACCCCAGGATACTTTGGGGATCCATGTTCCTTGCTCATGCTGCTGGCTGCTATTAGGATAGCACTTCCTTCTCACCTTTTCATCTGGAAACTTACAGATCCTACCTAGCCAACAAGTCTCAGCTCCAGCTGTGCCTTCCCCAGGAAGTTCTCCCTGACCACTCCAGTCCAGATGACTCTCAGTAGTCCAACCCAGTCATCAGCATAGAACTATTTGGGGGCCAAGTAAAAAAGGTGCTATTAGAACATAACTATGTCCATTTGTTTACCTATTATCTGTGGCTGCTTTGAGATACAGTGGCAGGATTGTGACAGAGAGCACATGACTCACAAGCCTAAAATATTTACGTTTTGATTCTTTACAGGAAAAATTTGCTGACCCCTGTCCTAAACTGGGAGGGCTTAACATGTGTACCTTTCAGCATGACCTGCAATAAATGCTCCATATTTTGTGATTTGCTAGGCTCTCACTTTTAAATTCAGCATAGTCTTTTAGTATTTGCCAGACATTTTGGGCACTGAACAAATAATCTCAAAATTACAATTGGAAATTGGAGTGAGTCTGGGCAGGGGACAAAGAGAACCCACAAGGCAATTTTATTTTCAAGAGACAATATTTATTACTGTTGTCTTGTGATTGCCGAAAAGACATTGAGAGCACAGCTTTGTACCTAAACCAGTTCCTTCCAACCCAGAACCCTTATCTGTTACCAACCTCAGTTTAAGAACATAACTTTGATCAAATTTCTATAGATGCCTATACAGGACATACAATGATGTAACATAATTTAAAAGTTAACTGGAAGTCCAAATACAAACACACACACACACACACACACACACACACACACACACACAATTAGAGGATTAGCATTTATTTAAAAAAAATACCTGATGAAAACCTTTTGAACATTCAGGTGTTCTACTTTATGAGAATGTGACTTTCATTAAGATCAGAATACACTTAACTCAGTGGTTCAAAGCTATAGTCACTTGTTTTCTTCTTTCCTGTCTAGTGGTCAACCCATTCCCAGGGTGGAATATACAGAAGAAGAAACTAAAACTTGGGGTATTGTATTCCGGGAGCTCTCCAAACTCTATCCCACTCATGCTTGCCGGGAATATTTGAAAAACTTCCCTTTGCTGACTAAATACTGTGGCTACAGGGAGGACAATGTGCCTCAGCTTGAAGATGTCTCTGTGTTTCTGAAAGGTAAGGCTTTCAATAGACTATCTGGTCTTGGCCAATATCCTTGTTTGCCTTTCAAACATAGCACACATAGCAGCAATGGTCTTTATACAAAAAGGAAAAGTAATGCTTTAAAGAAAAGCATTGAACCAATAATTACCTGTGGGCCACCTGTGGGAAGCAGATCAGAAACTCTGAGCAGGGAGATGGACTCTGCCATTTATATAGTGTGGAGCTTGCTGAAGTCCACTCTCTTTGATTGGCCATTACATGTGGTAAACCACAAAGAATATTTGCAAGTACAGTTTTTTTTTTTTTTTTTTCCTGATCCAGGAACTACTCTGTGTGGCTATTTGGGTATGGAATAACAACAAAGGTGACTTTTTATTTGCTTTGTTAAAAACCATGTACAAGCTGGGTGTGGTGGTGCACCCCTGTAATTTTGGCTGCTCAGGAGGCTGAGGCAGGAGGATCATGAGTTCAAAGTCAGCCTCAGCAATACTGAGGCGCTAAGCAACTCAGTGAGATCCTGTCTCTAAATAAAAAACAAAATAAGGCTGGGTGTGACTCAGTGGTTGAGTGCCCCTGAGCTTAATCCCCAGTATCCCACCCCCCAAAGAAAGAAAGAAAGAAAGAAACCATGTACTAGAGCTGGAATGGTGGCACACACCTGTAATTCCAGCTGCTTGGGAGGCTGAGGCAGGAAGATCATAAATTCAAAGCCTGCCTCAGCAACTTATCAAGGTCCTAAGCAGTTTAGTGAGACCCTGTCTCAAAATAAAAGATAAAAAGGGCTGGGGATGTGGCTTAGTGGTTAAGTGCCCCTGGGTTCAAGCCTTTGTACAAAAAAAAAAGTCATCCATACTTTTTGGATGAAGAAATATCATAGATAATGGTGAATTCGCCTGGGGCAAATCAGTCAGTCAGTGCATCAACCAATCAATACTTTAAAGTATAAATTGTATGTCAGGGACTGTCCTTGTTGGTGGTGGTACAGTGGTGAACAAGATGATCACAGGGAAATGTCACTTTACATTCTGCTTGGTCCCTCCTCACTGACCCTGCTGGGACAACAGCTCTAGGGCTCTTGTGAGGGATGGGGAGGAGGCAAGATTTCATGGTGGTTTCACCGTGAGACTCCCTCCGCTCTTTGTGGTTAAATCCTTTTGCCCTCTGCTCTTTTATCTCTTCTTCTTTTTCAAGGCCAATTGTTGGCAAAGTAAAAGTTGCTATTCCACTTCCTTTCCTGACACTTGCTTCCTTGCCTGTGTCCCCTGTTTCTGTCAGCAGTATTTTATTCTCTAGACTCACCAAGCTTGCCTGCAAGGACTCCACTGAATTCCTGCCCATCCCCACCTCCTCCCATACTTAACCCGTCTTTGTATTATTGTATTATTGCCACTGTAACAAATTACCACAAAGTTTGTGACTTAAAGCAGCACAAATCATTATCTTACAGTTCTGGAGATCAGGAGTCTAAAATCAAGGCATTGGCAGGGTTGCATTCCTTCTGGAGGCTTCTGTTCCCTGCCTTTGCCAGCTCCCAAAGTCTGCCTGAGTTACTTGGCTTGTGGTCTTTTTCTCAAATTACTCTGAACTCTTGCTTCCATTGTCACATCTCCTTCTCTGACTATGACCCTACTACTTTCCTCTTAGGAGGACCCTTGTGATTATAATAGCTCATCCAGATAATCCAGGATAATCTCCCCATCCCATGAACCTTAATTTAATCACATCTGCAAAATCCCTTTTGCCAAGTCAGGTAGCATGTTCACAGATTCAGGGACTCAAGACACGGGCATCTTTGAAGGGCTATTATTCAATCTCCAACTATTGCTGCTTCTAACTTTGTGACACATTATAAATCTGTCCTTCTCCGCCCCTCATTCTACTGTCACTATCCAAATTGAGGTGCCCATCATTTTACAACCTTCATGCCTATGGAATTTTCTTCCCCTCTCTCTCCTGCCCAGTGCTTCCACATAAATATTGCTTTCTAAAACATTACTTTCTCCCTGACAGCTCTGCTCAGAAACTATCAGTGATTCCCTGTTGTTTTTATTGGCAAACTTTTTTGTAAAGGGCTAGATAGTCATTATTTTAGTTTTTATGAGCCAAGAGGGAATATCAAGGATATTTTTTGGGTACTTACATAACCATTTTAATGTGTTCTTTTAAAAAATGTATAAAACAGGCAGCAAACGATGTGGCCAGAGTCTGAACTGGCCAAGTTTGTCTCCTCGGTGGTTGCCTTGTACAGGCTATGGCCTCTCCCTGTGGGCTCTCCATACTTTAGCTTCCTGGAAAAGTCTTTCCTTGACCAAAAACATCATCTCTTCTCCACCTATTCAAATTCTACCTTCAGGACTTAGAGCAAGTCCTGCCTCCTTTGTGAATCCTGATAGTCACAGCCACCATAGTCTCTCCCCCTGATTCCAGTCAATATCATCTGTGTATCAGGAAAAAGCTTTGCAAGCTTTTATAGCTGGTACACTGATCCTCCAATGTGTGAACATTATCTACTATACAGTATTTGTTTCTGAAGAAAAGAAATTGAGAACCACTGATCAGTATCACTTAATTAGCACCTAATTACATAATGCCTTCTGTTGTTGTTTAACTAGATTATATTGTCCCTAATGGCCCTATGGTCATGTTCCTCTTTGTTTCCCACAGAGTTATGTATATACTCTATTTACCATGGGCTCCAGTGTTCTTTCTCAATACAGTAAAAATGGTAATTAGAATGCCATCTCATAGTTTTTGCTATTTCTGACTCCCAAATTAATATTTTCATGAAAGGCTCTTTTTAATTGACTCACTTTAAAAAAATTGTTTGAAAAGAAAACTTCTAAAACAATGATATCTACAAATTTAACATTCTTGATATCATACTTGCATATTTTCCCCTAATTTACATAAAAATGAAATGTGTCAGGGTTGGGGTTTGGCTCAGTGGTAGAGCGCTTGCCTAGCATGTGTGAGGCACTGGGTTCACTCTTCAGCACCATATTAAATAAATAAACAAACAAATAAAAAATGTGTAATTATTGAAATAAGAAAAATTCTTCTGTGTACCACTACTTATGTGCCACATGTGGGATATACTGACTTGATTGATGTAATGTAGAAAAAGAAGAAAATATGCTTATCTTTTTTATATACCATGGGGAACAATCTGAAGTGAAAACTTTTATAATGAACACAATGCTACTAGAGTTATGGTTTTGAGGAGGCCTGAGAAGTGTGTTATTTTCATGTAGGTACTAGAAATTTCAGGATGAATTTGTTCCACATACTTAGTTCTTACTTTTTAAGACCATTTCTAACCACTCTGAGGTATTCTCCTAATAAGTTGAAGTTTTTGGAATTGGAGCCTTACAGTATGGCAGAGAGTATAAGAATTTTTCTCCTGGACATTATGCCAAGTGAAATAAGCCAGATACATAAAGACCAACACTACATGATCCCACTTATATCTGGAATCTAGCAAAGTTGACTACATAGAATCAGACAAATGTAGTTACAGGGGAGGGGAGGGAGATACAGGAGATGGGGAGATGTTGGTCAAAGGGTCCAAAGTTGTAGTCATCTAGGATAAATGTCCAGAGATCTTGCTTACATTATGGTGACTGACTAGTAGTTATGTATACTCTAATGGAGATTTGCTAAAAGAGTAGATTTAATGTTCGTTTAATATACACACATTCACACACAGGTAAGTATGTGAAGACAGGATATGTTATCTTTGAAGGGATAAAAGAAGTAGACAATAAGTAAAAAGGAGACATAAAAGAGGGACAGGGAAAAAGATTTTAATTCAAAAGTTCTGTATACTTTTCCAGGGCTGTCACTCCCCACGTGAATTTTTCTTCTAAACCTGTTACTTCCAAATTACTGGAAAATCTGTCAATCTACCTGTGCATTGTTAATTAATACTCTTTGCCCTAATCTATATAACCCAATATATAGATTAGGCAAAGAGAGATACAATATATTGAGAAAGCTATAATTTAGGGGACTTTTTGATGCTATCTATTGATCAGATAATAAAGACTATGTCAGCTTAAGGATGCAGAGATTGAACAAGACCACCAAAATCTGTCTTGAAATCACTGGACTGATATCATTCCTAGAAATCTTTCCATACTTCCCCATCCCAAGTTTCCTTTAAAAGAAGAACTGGGGCTCCAGAAGGCATCTCTTACTCTTGAGGTAGCCTGCCTTTCCCCTTGAAAGAGCATTCCTTGCTTTATCCCCAAAGGCGTCTCTTGAGGTGGTTGTCATTCTCCCTGATTATGTATTTGCTTTCCTAAATAAAGCTCAGTGTATGCCCCTGACTGGTGTGTGCTGAAATTCTTTCCTGTCACATATGTCAAGAACCCCACTAGTCCTGAGTTGAGTTCTCTGTTCTCTCCAAGAATTCCTCAGGCCCTTCTTAGGAGACACCTCCTCTCCAGTGACAGCTTGATTGTGACAATCATTTCCCTTTGTGTATGTCTGTCAAAACATGTCTTATGCTTTAAATATATATGTGTCTATTAAATATATGTATATGATTAAATATATATGTAATATTTAACCATTCTTGTGAGAAGAGGACAATATAAAGCTGCCATTTCTATATCTATATCTATCTATTTATTTATTTATTTATAAAATGTGTTTTAGAAAAAAATAGAAAGTTGTAAGATTTCTGGGCCTTCATTAGAGAGTAGCATTAGATAGGTCACCCTGAACCTGAGAACACTGATGAAACTGAATGACATAGGGTAATTTTACAGATTTTATTGTGCTCTTATTTTATTTCTCTTACATAAATATAGCGTGTAGAGCTCCAGAGTACCTCTTTAAATCCTAGTAATTAATATAGTATCACATAAAACATCAATACAGGATGAAGGAGTGAGAGGTATCCACATAGGAAGCTGCAGTGTGAACTGATCCCTAGATGCTAGTGAAGGGTGCCTTGCTGTATGCCTTGGAACACAAGCAAAGGGAAGAGGGTATCCCCAGGGGAGGCTTTTAGAAAGATACAAGGAAATGTTTGATAACAATCACTTGAGATTTTAATCTTTTCCTGTGTCTTTGGGATTTCTTTTCCTAATTTGACTTCTGAATTGAAATCCCTTTATATGTATGTGTATATACACACACATTTTTTTTTTTTTAACTTCAGTTTTTTACCTTTCCCTCTTAAGGAATGTCTTATTCCTGTGGGAACCATAATTTGTGAGAGAATTTTAGTCACTAGAAACCCCAAATGTGATAGTTGTTAACAGGATATGTCATTCAGTAGTCAAAAGTTTAGAATCTTGATTACTTTGATTCTAGAACATCCTTATAAATAACAGGAACCCCTGTATGGGCCCTCAGGCCATGTCAAATTAGTACTTAGTTGGCTCTCCTCTTGTCTCTTTAGAGAGGTCTGGCTTCACGGTGAGGCCGGTGGCTGGCTACCTGAGCCCGCGAGACTTTCTGGCAGGACTGGCCTACAGGGTGTTCCACTGTACTCAGTACGTCCGACATGGCTCAGACCCGCTCTACACCCCTGAACCGTGAGTACCATTTCAAAGCCAGGCTGGATGGAGACCACCACACTGTGGAGTGGTCAATGCTCACTTGACTTGAAAGTAACTTAGGCTCTCTTTTACCTCCAGGGTAGTTTCATCTTTCTAGGCAGGTGAGTCATAACACATACCCAAATAAGAAAGGGGTCATTGAAGGAGCAGACTTCGCAGCTCTGGGTCCCTGATACTCTTGCTCTAGCTCATCTCTCTAACTTGAGCCCATTGCTGAACCTCCTGCTTGGCCAGCTTTGCATCCTTGAGGAGGAAAGGATGGTATGAGGGTAAAGTAAGATCAGACACACAATAGGACACACATAACTCTATAGGAGGCCCCTCTTTGGTCCAGGAGGCTCAAACATACACTATAGCAACTGGTTACTAAACCCCCTCTCCTTTCATCTTTTATCACCCCAAACTCAGAACTCTGTGCTGTTTTCCCTATCGTCTTAGTTTCTTGAACATTCTTCCAATCCTGTCCATCACCTCCATAGACCTATGAGGTTTGTGATTCTTCTTCAGTGTTGTCAGCTTTCCATGAAAGAATCCTGCTTTGGGGCTTTTGTACATTCTCTGCTGGACAATGGTGGGCTGAATGGGTGGAGGAGCTACACGGTGTGCCATATTGTTCTATCATGGGTGGGCAATGGGGGTCAGCTGCAACAGCCCCACAGGTTAATCATTTGGCCTCATTCCACATGACACTGTACAGTCTACAAGTGTCAAATGACTTGTATCTTGTTTCTTTGTATGCTTTTAAAAATGTGACAAATACATATTGGAAGACTGCTATGTGCTTGGATTGTTTGAGAATGGAACACCAGGCAACATCCCTGTCCTCCTGGGGGAATAAGGGAGATGAAGTTAGCATATAGACAGATAGGTGGAAATACAGGCAGGTGTAAGCTCAAAGTATCACTATGTACTGTAAAAACAGAGTAGGGGGAGGAGACAGAGAGTCATGCTTATTGCTTGTTTGGATTGGATCATCAGGACAGACTTGTGGGAGGTGACATTTCAACAGAACCTGAATGTCCATATTTCAGGGTGAACAATTACAAGCCAAGAAAGCAGCAAAGCAAAGATCCTTAAGTCTGACAGCCCAAGTGGGTTTTTTGCCCCCTTGGGCTCCATTTATATGAGTGTCCCTCCCTAATCTTGCTGTAATCTGTTGCACCCTATTCTTCAAGCCACTCAGGTTATCACTTTGCTTATGATGCTATTTTACTTGAATAAGCTTGTGATTAATGGGCTGCCATGGTCTTCACTGGGGAGCAGAGAGCCTTTGAGGTTCCAGCAGTTAAGTAGCCGAAGTGGGCAGGGATTAGAGTTGAGTCTCTGAAGCCCCACTCCCCCTCCTAGGCTGGCATGAGTCACTGGCCTGGTAGGTCCCTGCAGGGTTACTACATTGTTTTTCAGTTCTGTTCAGCTTCCCTGAACGTGTTTGCAGGGTAAACAAAGGTTACTTATAGGACTCAAGACATTTGGAAAAGAAATGCTTCTTAGAGTGCTCAAAGGAGCATTGTCAGAGTTAGAAAGGCAATCTCTAAATCTAGCCCAGAGGGTTTACAAATGGCCCTGTTTACAAATAGCAGGCACTTTGTTAGTTCCCTTTGAATAACTGGCCCTCCTGAGACCTGTGATAGCGTGCCAATAGGTATGCAGAGAAGAGGGCAAAGAAATGAGATTTTAGCCACAGAGGTCTATAAAATTTTGGGATAATGTGTTACATTTTTACCAAAGTACTTTTCAGCCAATTCATTCGGCAATATTTATGTGCAATGTTAGCAGGGAGGTGCAGTGGATTTAAAGATGAATAAAATATAGTAGCTTTATTTTATTTATTTATTTATTTTAAAGCTGCTCACATTCTGGCAGGGGAGATAGGAACATAAATAATTAGGAAAGAGTGTGGTTAGAGCTATCATCAGGGTATATACAATGTGTTAGAGGAGCACAGAGGAGAGAGGGACCCTGAAAGGCTTTTCAGAGATGGTATGATATGAATGGAGGTCTGGGAGGGTGAACAGAAATTTCACTTTTGGGCAAGGTCTGGTAGGACGGGAAGGGAAACAGCAAGTGCATAGGGGTAGAGGCATGCAGAAGGCATCAGTGAGCAAGGCTTGATAGAGCAGAGTGGTCAGGGTCCGGCTTATGTATTAGGGATGAAACCTATTTACAAGGCACATTTAAACTAGAACATTCAAGTTTCATTGTGCAGGCCACAGGGAACTCTCTGAGGTTCTGAAGTGTGATCTTAAGCGTATTTGAGAAAGATGACTGGGGTGGGGATGGCAGAAGCCTTCTGGCTGCCTCTAGCCAGGGAGCTCATATTCTAGGAAAGGAATATAGTTAATATGGTATTGAGCTGGGAAAGGCCAGTGAGATAGTACAAGAGGGCACCTATGTGATCCTCTCTTAAAACTGTAGAGATGGAATATTCACTAATTTGGTGAATATAATAGAAATAAGGAAATAGAGGGCCTCCAAGGTAATGCTGAGGATTTTATTGGGAAGTCTAGTGGGTAATTCTTTCTAATAATGATTGAGAATATTGGAAGAGAATCAGACCTGGAGGGAAGATGGAAGGAGAAAGGGAGAGAAGAGGATTTGGGGTTTGGGTATATTGTCTTTGAGGTGTCAAGGGTGAGACCTCCAGATGGAGAAACTCCTGGTAGTTGGAAACAAGGGCTGATTCAGAGGTGAATCCAAAGCTCCCACAATAGAGTTGAGTTTTTTTTTTTTTTTTTCAGTTCTAAGAGTCCTGTGACCATTCAGACAAGAGGAAACAAAAATCAGAGTATAGAAACTGGGGATTCATTAACTTAGTGTTGTCTTTATAAGCTTTTTTTTTTTAACATTTGTTTTTAAAAATTGTTATTTTAGAAACAGGTAATACATGTACATGGGTTCCTTTCCTTGCTCTGTTTGTCCTCTCCAGAGGCCACTACTGATGCTAGTTTTTATTGCATCCTTCCAGAAATATGCTATGCAGACTAAATTCTCTGCAGAGATCCCTTTAATCTTTGTCTATCACAAAAGCATATATCTCTCCTCAGCCACATAGTTTGAATCTATGGAATACTTACTGGAAGAACTGTTTCCTGCTCAGGCACTTTCACCAGCATTGTCTTTGTAATGAAATCCCTTTTTCTCATTCGGAAACCAACAAGAGGGCAGATTCTCCAATTTACGAAGTTCAACTTGGCTACTATGTTTGTTGCTTGTATCCTGCTTCCAAATAACTGCTGAACTGTAGTAGCAGAGACAGCAATAATAAGACAAAGATGAGCCACAAGGACCCAGGTAGAAATGAGAACAGAAGCAGCAAAAAAGACACTATCTGAATAAAGGGATTTTATTTCCCTTTTTGGTTTGTTTAGAACGTATTTTGCTCTCACAGCTTTCAACACACACTGGGTTTTAAACATGTCTTTGGCTTATTTGAATATTTTGCATTTTAAAGGCTCTGGGTGTGCTAAACCTGGACATACAGGGGGACATGAATTTAAAAAGTGGTGCCAGGTTGGATTGGTTCCCTTGGGAAAGTTTTCTAGCCTGGAGGATAGTAGAGAAAGTTCTGGGGAATTGCTGGTTTTCTTGGTGGGAGGAGTTGCTTTTCCATGTGTTTGCACTGGGGTTAAAGGTCACCGCTCTGCTAGGAGGGAGATGCTGTTGTTCTTCCTCCCTTAGAGCAGTGCCTGAGGCAGAGATTTGCACTTCAATGTTGCCTAGAGAGTGCTTTGATCAGCTGTGATCCCAAGCAAGTGGTGACTAATCAAGTATTGATGTTTACAAATGATTTCCTTTACAAAATACCAATTGGGTCAGATTCAAGGCTATTCCAATAAGGCCATCCCTCTAGCTCACTGGGATGAGAGGGAAAGATGCAGAGTGTCAGCATGGGCATATGAGCGTCATCCAGCATGTATATAGTGGCAGAACAACAATTTTAGAAGTCCTACAGTGTCCCTGATCTGTTTTTTGTCTTTCTGGGAAAAGTTCATTTGTGTACTCTGCCATGTTGTGTCCTCTGATCACCTCACCCTCTTTTAGAACAGTTTCTAACTTTGATTGACACTATTCACACTTTGGGTCAGACAGTTCTTTGTTATGGAGGGTTGTCCTGTGCATTGTAGGATGTTTGGCAGCATCCTTGGTGGCTACTCACTAAATCTCAAAAGTACCCTTCTACCCTACCCTCCACCTCAACTGCAATAACCAAAGATGTGCCTAGGGGGCGATAACGACTCTGATCAGGAACCACTGCTTCAGAATAAGTCCGCTAGCTGTATTCCCTTTGCTTTTCTCTTTGCCAGTAAGCATGCTCCCTCCCTCCTCTTAGAAGCAATCTGTAGACTTTGTTTCCTTTTTAAAACTCAAACCTGGAAATAGCATTCCTTTGTTTAACCTCTGCGGATTCCTTGCTACATAAAGGGAAAAAAAGTCTGATCTTATCAAACTGTTTCTGCCTTCCTCCTGGCCCCTCTGAAACCTTCTGCTCCAGTCACTCAAGACTTCTCACCATCATGTGAACCTGCCACTTCATGCCCCCAGCCTTCTGCACTGTGGTTCATTCTGTCTGGAATGAGCAACTGGTGATGTCCTTTTAATTTTGTAGTATTCAGTTCAGTTGCATTCTGCTCCATGAGGACACTCCCAGGTAGAGGTAGGTGTTCCTCTAGCACAATACCTTACTTCTATTTTAGCCCTTACACCACTGCCTAGTAATTACTTATTCATGTGTCATGTTCCTTTTTTTTTTTTGGAACTAGGGATTGAACCCAGAGGGACTTAAACACTGAGCCACATCTTCAGCCCCTTTTTAAATATTTTGTTTAGAGACAGGGTCTCACTGAGTTGCTTAGGGCCTCACTTAGTTGCTGAGGCTGGCTTTGAACTTGTGATCCTCCTGCTTCAGCATCCTGAGCTGCTGGGATTATAGTTGTGTAGTGAACTCATGGCCAGTTGGCAAGGGAGCAAGCATAGGAAACAAGAAGATCCAGAATGAAACTGGAGTGGATCCCTGACCCTGGCATAAAAGGGAAAACTAAGTCAAGAGTGGGAAAAAGCCATGTATGGCACTGCTAGCAGGAGGTGCCAGGGTTGAGACATACAGAGTCCCAGCTCTGTGGAGAAGTCCTGGGCACACCCTGCATGGCAGAGGGTCCCTTTGTGAATGGCTATGCCCTGTGCTGGTGAGTGTCCCCATTCATCCCATCTGCTTTACTCTGATTTCAGGGACTGATGCTGGTCATCCCTCCACGAATCGAACATTTTTTCATGTTCAGTGTCTTCAGGCAAAACTGTGACACTTTAATGATAGGATATTAAACAACAATGAAAACTATGAAGCTAGGTCACGTGGACCAGAATAGTGTTCTCTTCAAACCACACCTACCAGTGGACAGTCTAACATATTCATTGTTTTTGATAAAAATAGTCTCAGAAAAAAAATGATATTCACTATGAAGCTGAAGAAGAGGATCCAAAGAAAGTATGAAGGTTGTCTCTATTGCCCCCTTATTAAGAAGAGAGAAAGAGAGGGAAGGAGGGTAAGAGAAAGAGACACCAACTTCTTTCATATGGTGCAAAGCTTTCCTTTGTTTTCCTCTTTGGATAATAACATAAATACTGTCCTGCCTGAAAGGTAGAAAAGCTCTTTGCCACCCCTTAAAAAATAATTCTGTCCATGACAAGCTCAAAATTACATTTGAACTACTTTATTGCATTAGGAAGAAATTCTGTGAAATTGGTGGTTTCTGCTGAGCACTGGTACAGGTGTGTTTGGGGCTGCCACATTGGCAGCTATGTTCTGATGGCTGAAGTGGATGGGTGCTCCTTCCCCCAGGGAGAAAGTGGACCAGAGATGCAGCAACGTTTCTGCATTTGTCTCTAGACACTCCTTTGAAGAGTAGGGGTGGAATTGGGGCTGATTCAGTTCAGGAAATTCTTGGGCATCCAGGGAATAGAATCAATTGGAGGGGAATCTTTCCCTCATTCCTTTGCTGCAGAGGCTTGGCCTGGTCTGATCTCTGACTTCAGGCTTCTTGTTCTCAGAGAGTGTTTTGGATTTTCAAGTGTTGTATTTATCCCATTCCCTGTAGCTCTGTCTTAGTTCATTTGGCTTTTCTTCCCTGGGCACTTCCTTCTAGGGAGTCTGAGGTCTCTGTCTGTGGTTCTTACAGACTCTTTTAATGTGTTTTGTGCAAAGTGGATGTTGGGCGCTTGCTAATTGCATTTGCAGGTGCACATTTACTTGTGTATGAGGTTTGCAATTCTCTCTGTGGTCCTTATGTCCAATGATACCTTAGAAATGCAGAGCTCTCTAACAAGAAATGCAATTGAATAAAATCATATTCTCCTGGGCCCATATTTCATGTTTTCCTTCAGATACTAGGAGTTGACTGAGGTCTAGGAAATAAAGGACAGGGAAAAAAAAATCCTGCTTTCTAAAATACTGCATATGTTATGTATCTTCATAATAACTGAAATCTTGTTCTTTTCAATTTAGTCCAAACCCTACCCTGGCCTAAATTTTTGGATGTAGACCAGAGGAATCCAGGTGTCTCATGGTTCAGAGGCCAGGTGCCCTTTGGAATATAAAACAATACCCGGAGCAGTACTGAAACACACAATTATAGCCTGACCCCTGCACACCTTCAGGGAGAAGTAGCCAGGAATTTAAATACAAACATACATTTTTTGAAGTCAAGTCAGTAAAATATCTATCTTTCCAGAAGAGGTATTACCAAAGTGATAAAGCAGTTTGACATGAGGAATTTCTTCTTAAAAATGTTTTAATGTGGGCTGGGGATGTGGCTCAAGTGGTAGCGCGCTCGCCTGGCATGCGTGCGGCCCGGGTTCGATCCTCAGCACCACATACAAAGATGTTGTGTCCGCCGAAAACTAAAAAATAAATAAAAAAAAATGTTTTAATGAAAATATTTAAAAATATTAATTATATTTTATGTTTCGGATGTTATGTTTAGCATACTAGTAACAAAGGTATACTTGGTACAACATAGTGTAAGCACATTAAATCAATGATTCTAGGTTTAGGGGTACATTGGGATGATTAGTCCTTCAGCAAATACTAATGGGGCACAGATTCTGCCCTGGTGATGTCACTTTTCAAATTGAAAATTAACTTTCATGATTAGGAAATAATTCACAACGCCATTGACTAATACTGCTGCATTTATTGCCATAATACAACTAAATGCATTTGCATTAAGGAAGATCTTTTTCCCCCTACAGTTGAACAGTTTAGGGGCAATTAATGTTATTTTTAAATATAACTGTTTTAAAGTTTAAAAAAGGCTTTGCATTCAGGTGATTTTTCTTATAATTGCTGCTGTGTTTCAATTTTACAAGAAGAATAAAAGTGAATTATTTCTGACAATATTTTTCATCTGCTTCTAAGTAAAGTGAATGAATTTTATGCTTAGCCCTTGCTTATGTGAACAGAATCCTCTCTAAAAGGGGCAGGAGATGTCATTTATTTCCTTTTCTTGGGGTTCAGGCATTCATCCTCGTTTGTTAAGAAATAATATCAGCAGGTAAAGACACAGGCTTTTGCGTTTATAGGAAAGGTTGGCTGTTACTGTCTGATTGAACAGATGCCTCTCACCAGGCCTGCAAGGAGGGGGAAAATACCATCTTGCCTTTCTGAACATTCTCTCCTTACTCTTACCTGAGAGATTCTGGGTCTGCAAACTCATGGGACTTAAGCCCCAGCCATCATGGGTATTGTTGCTATCCAGCCTTCCTGAAGTCAGGTGTGGCATGGTCTTGCTGCAGAGCTGGCAAGATGAACCAGAGCTTTCTGGACTTTCACCGTCGCCCTTGTGAGCACTGTTTAGCTTAACTAGCTCTTTCCCGTGAGACCTATGAGCTCAGAGCCAAGCCTGCCCAGCCAACTGACCTCCTTCATGGTGCTGTTGTCTTCCTTGCTGATCAGACTTGTAGAGCAATGCAAATGCTAGGGCTTTCCAGAAAATGGCGTGTTCTCAGAAAGCTGATCCCATCTGGACTCCCTTTCCTGCTTTTTAACCCAGAGCTTATATGTTCAGTTTAGGGGCTATCTTCTCCTCCAGGAGAAGTTTGGTTTGGGCTACACCCAGGGCCAATGAAAATAGTCATCCCTCCTTCCTCCAAGATAAGTAATTTCAACGACCACCGTCACAATGGCAATAGCTACGATGCTTTTCTTAGATAGCAAACATGTATACACTGACCTTCACAGTACATGTTTGCTATTTGTATTGCCAAGCACTATTTTAAGTGTTGTATATGAATGAATTAATTTAATACAACAACTCCTTGCTTTTTTACTGTTACTATTCCGAGTTTATGAAAATGAAGCATAGAAACGTTAAGTAATTGCCCAAGGTAACATAACTGTTAAGTTAGTTAGCCAGGATTTGAACTTGGAGAGTAATGTTAAGATCTGTGGACTTAACCCTTACTCTGTGTTAAGCAGTAACACTAAACACAAAAACTCAAAACTCACATATGCTGAAGTTGAATAGCCTTTTTTTTAAATTGAGAACTTTGTATGTGATTCAAAAGTGACACTTTTTTTACTTGTTGGCTTTGCTCTGCCTGAATACTCAATGTGCCTACTGGAGAGGCTAGTCTTGTGCTGTCCCATTGAGTCCTTGGCCGAACTACCGGGCTTGTTAGAAGCCGGACCTGTTCTTTGATCCTCACAGGATGGCTTACCTGCTCCATTTATCATGAGGAGGTATCTCCTGTTTCACTGGGGGGCTATGGGGATAGGGCCTCACCACAGTGTAGTACTGAAGATAGGAGACTGCTGTGTATCATCCTGAGGCAGAAGGATCTGGGACTGCAGGCCAGAAAACCAGGCTCTCAGTGTGACATTGGCAAGCCATTTAACCTCCCAGTGTGAGGGATGATGAAATAATGCTTTGATCTTTAGAGAGAAAAAGCTTGATATAAATACCAAATAAGTGCACTCTTTCTTAGCACCTCTTAAATTCATTGAAGGCTCTTGCCTCATAAAATTCCAGCACATCCTTAGTTACAAGGTCCACATTCTTACACCTGGACTTTCAAGCTTTCAATCATTATATTGTGTCTCATTTTGTGATATGCCTAAAAGCAAAAATAACCCCTATTGCAGTGCCTATTGTCTGAAGAGCTCCAAGCTAACAGTACACATTCTATTAAAACAAAAATCCTATACATTATTTAAGACCTGTGCATTGTGAAACCAAATCTGTGCCTAAGTGCTGCTGTAGCCCTGTTTTTGCTCTTGTGAGGCTCTCTTCAGTAACTTGGGATAAAGCTTCAGCCACTTTTTCTTTTTCTTTTTTTTTTTTTTTAAACTGATTCAAAGTAGGGATTCCTCTGCCTTCCTACCCACTGTACCCAGGATTGTCTTCCTTGTGTGATGCGCATAATCCAAAATTAGCACTCATAAACACCTGCACTTGAATCAAAATTCATATCTCCTCAGCACCCTGTCATCAGGGAGAAGTTCATTAGGTACTTTCAGGTGTGGAGGATTGAGATGACCAGGGAACAGTGTTTTAAGGAATATTTGCATTTTAAAATTGAAGTTCAGAAGAAGAAATTAAAAACAATTGAATTTTCAATAAAAAATGTAATCGCCATCCAGGCCTCTTCACTACAGTGTGGAGAATGACATCCAGGGACAGACCCAAGAGAGACAAAAGGTTTCTGCTCTCTTCACTCAAATTCTGCTTGTTGGCATCATTTCATTCACCTCTGTGAGGTGTCGCCGTTTTACAGATGGCAATTCCAAGGTTCAAAGAAGTCAGGTAATTTCCCTAAGGCCACACAACTAGAAAATAGCCAAGCCATGATCTGGTCCAAAGCCCTTATACAACACTAGAAATTAGTAGAACCGTACTTGGGTTTCACTTGGATTCCCTTCTATTTGGAGCAATAGAGCCCCATCAACACCTGCTCTATTCAGCTCAATTCAAAAACTAGCTATTGGCATTTCTCCTGTGCCAGGCTTTTCTAAACACTGGGGACCCAAAGAGGAGCATGGCATGACCTCTGGCCTGGAGAAACTTATTGCTTCTTACCTAAATCAATACCATCGAAAAGAGCAAAACTCACTTGAGTACAATAAACTTAGGTCTAAACATAATTTAATGTAATATGAATAACAGTACTTAACTCATAGGAACTTAATGCTTTCAGTTCATTGTCTTACTACATTGTTCAAGAACATCAAGTGATAGTGACCTTTATAATTTCCATTTTAGACTTGCAGCCCTTGGGCACCTTGGGGACACTGGGCTTGGCTGCCTTCTTCAACTTCTTGCTCCCAGCTGCTGCCTTCTTGGCCTTGCTGCTGCTGCTGCTGCTGCCCTTGTCCTCGGTGGCAGCGGCCTTCGGGGCACATGCTTGTTGGCTGCGGTGCCCTTGGTGAGTCAGGGGTCCTTGTGGCACCGTGCTGCCGGCTTCTTGGGTTTGTGCACGGCAGGCGCGGAAAAGGGGCACACTGTTAGCTCGCCGCCAGCTTTTGGCGATGGAGCTTCAAGGAGCCGGTGCCACCTGTGCCCTTGACTTGCAGTAGCAAGTCATTCTGCACCAGCATGCACCAAGTACTTGAGGAGGACTTGAGCTTTGCTTATCCAAGTGGAGCTTGTTTGAAATGCAGAGTGGTGGTGTACTTGAACCTGTGGGAAGAAGCAGTCAAGATATGTGACTCTCAGACTTGAGGGTATTACCAGGATTGCTGGACTAGTACAAGATTTCTGATTTAGTAGTCTGTGTTCTTAATAAAGGTGCTATGAAAGAATGTAAGACAGGAAAATAATTAAATATTTTTACTGTGTTACTGTTAGCATTCAGGGATATAGCCATTGATTTTACTGAAGAGGAGTCGGAATGCCTTCAGCCTGCTCAGAAAAACTTATATAATGATGTGATGTTAGAGAACTATAGAAACTTTGCCTTTCTTGAAGTACCCATCGCCAGATGACAACCTGTTTTTCCCCAACCAGACCTCAAATGGAACTGACTTCTAAAAGGGAACTCATGTCCCCCACGTTGCCCCCCATGTCTTCAAGCCACCTCACCTGTTCGACACCCCTTTTCAGCTCTGAAGCAGCCAGAATGAGCTGTCGCCCCTTCTCCTTACAGCAATAAAGAGTTCCTAAAATTAGGGGGAATGAAGCCAGAGATGGATAGACAGTGTAGATAGGTAAATCAAGTCAGGTTGGATGGATATAGGAGGCCCATTTTGAGTGAGTCTGGGAAGTTGAAGACGGTCTCCTGAGATTACTGTTTACAAAGATGTAGAGCCTGGCCAAATAGGCCCCCAAATGAGGGAACCATGATTGTTTCCCAAGTTTCCAGACAAAGGGGGGAATGAAAAACCAGCCTCTACCTCAGAGCAAAGCATGTCCAAGGAAGGGACATGACCTTTGTCCCTGGAAAGACCCATAGAGCGCTCCTAGGCACATTCCCACCCTGCTAAGTTGTTTATCTACAAATAACAGGAGAGATCTGCTGAGCCAGGTGTCCCTGACTCAGTCAGGCTAGGTGGGGATCCATAGCAACCTCCTAGCAGCCACCAATCAGCATGAGACAAGGAAATATCTGGGATGCCAGATGACCCTCCCAGTAGTTTATGGTGGTTGATAACGTGTTGGAAAACCACGTAATTCAGCATGAACACCCCTCTTGGCTTAAACCAATCAGTTCAAATGAATACCCCTTTTGTAGTAACCAATCATCCCTACCCACCTTGTTCCTGCCATTGAATGTGCTAATCATGTTTTAGAGTTGTTATTTGACTTTCCCACCGAGTGTGATGATTTGCTAAGAGATGCTATGATGTATGTGGCGGTCTCTGCCTTCTCCAAAGAATGTATAAAACTGCTGCAAACCCTGGGCTTGGGGCCTCTCAGCATCACCAGTTGCTGTGTGTGTGCGCGGAGGACCAAGCCAGCTCACAATAAACACCTCTTTGCTGTTTAAAAAAAAAAAAAAAAAATATATATATATATATATATATATATATATATATAATTTCCATTTTATAGATGAGCAAAATACTACGTCTATGCTGATCAATATGGCAATATATATATATATATATATAATTTCCATTTTATAGATGAGCAAAATACTACGTCTATGCTGATCAATATGGCAAGATGTGGCTATTGACATTTTTTAAGCAAAATTAAATAAAATCATACATTCAGTTAGTAATACTAGCTACATTTGAAGTGTTCTGTAGACATCCTTTGCCAAGTGGCTGTGCTATTATTGGTCAGCACAATAGAGAGCAATTTTCATTTCTGCAGAAAGTCCTATTGGACAGTTGCCTGCATCAGTAATTTGCCTACATGAGAATGTGGGAAATGGACTTAAGTCTGACTGAGTACATTCTTTTAACTCTTATGATATACTGCTGCCTTAATTTTAGAGAAATTGGGGAAAGAGAGGGAAGGTTAAAGAAATAAGAAACATCTCAGAAATGGTGGGGGACTAGTAGCCCTTGAAAGAACCAGGAACTATTTCTTTTTTGTTGGATCAGAAATGTTAATACTTGCTGTTTGTCTTTTAATGAAACCATAAGGTGACTTTTGCTAAGAGTTATTCTAAAATTGTGATTTATTTACTTTTCAGCCTCAGCTCCTAATATAGTACCTGGTACATAATAGGCACACAATAGATGTTTCTGGAACTGAATTTTAATATAACTATAATGTCTGCCTGTCTCAAAAGAATCGTAGTGAAGAGTAATGTTGGTGGACTTCTTTAAATTCCTACTGGGGGAAAGAAAAGATTTCCTCCAAGGCAACATGCAAGGTCTGAGCTTGGG